TCATGAAAGGCATTTTGAAGGGGGGCTGGATAATGTTGGCAGGGGAACAATTGATGATGAGAGGAGGCTGGTGAGGGAGATGGGGCGAGGACCTTGAAATGGTTAATGTGGATGGCTTGCAGAATGGTGATATTCTGAAATGTTGGAGGATGGGGAAGTTGAAGAAGAGGATGAAGAAGGTGGGTGGGATGTTGAAGATTTGGAACTTCCTCCTGAAGCAGACACTCCAAGGGCTTCCGCTAGTGCCCGGTCTTCAATTTTTGTGGCGCCAACTCCAGGCATGCCAGTAAGTCAGATTTGGGTCCAGCGATCATCTCTTGCTGCTGAACATGCTGCTGCTGGGAATTTTGATACTGCAATGCGGTTGCTGAGCAGACAACTTGGAATTAGAAATTTTGCTCCTTTGAAATCTATGTTTCTTGATCTGTACACAGGCAGCCACACCTATTTACGTGCATTTTCTTCCGCTCCAATAGTTTCACTGGCAGTCGAACGGGGGTGGAATGAATCTGCTAGCCCTAATGTGAGGGGCCCTCCAGCACTGGTGTTCAATTTTTCACAGTTGGAAGAGAAGCTTAAGGCTGGTTATAATGCTACAAGATATGGGAAATTCAGCGAGGCTCTTCGTCTCTTTCTTAGCATTCTTCATACAATTCCCCTTGTTGTTGTTGAGTCGAGGAGAGAGGTTGATGAAGTTAAGGAGTTGATTATTATTGTCAAGGAATATGTTCTTGGTCTGCAGATGGAAACTAAGAGGAGGGAACTGAAAGACAATCCTGTCAGGCAGCAAGAACTTGCAGCCTACTTCACCCATTGCAATATGCAAATGCCTCACTTAAGGCTTGCCTTGCAAAACGCCATGACTGTCTGCTACAAGGCAAAGAATTTTGCCACAGCTGCTCACTTTGCGAGACGTCTATTGGAGACAAACCCCACAGTCGAGAACCAAGCTAAGACAGCCAGACAGGTGCTGCAGGCTGCAGAGAGGAATATGAATGATACAACTCAACTAAACTATGATTTTAGAAACCCTTTTGTGATATGTGGGGCTACATATGTTCCAATTTACCGGGGGCAGAAGGATGTAGCATGCCCATACTGTAGTTCCAGATTTGTCCCTAGCCAAGAAGGGAAGCTCTGTACTGTATGTGATCTTGCTGTTGTTGGCGCAGATGCATCAGGGTTGCTCTGTTCTCCTTCTCAGATTCGATGACTGAGCTGCTGAATCGAGAGTGCTGTTCAACCAATTCCCAGTTGATCCTTTTGGCAGATGACGCTCTCATGTTAATCAGTGTATTCATATCTGCAGGTAAAAGGTAAGAAAATACAACAGAAGAGTTACATTCCATAAGGATTGTTTGTGCTATCCTTTTCTTTGCCTTATATTCCTTGCTTCTTCATGTAGGTGTTCATGATTTTCCATGTAATAAGCATTTTGAGAATTTTTTTGACTGGAGGCTGTTCTTGTTATTAGTTCATCAGGCAAGAACAGTCAAAAGGCTCTTGTTAAATTAGAAAATGGTTATAGGCAGGATGACTTGCATATTGATGTACGCAGGTTTGTCATTCAGCAAAATTTGCTTATTTTTGTGATACTTCGGATTTTTGGTTTGCACGGATGATAATATATATGGTCCCAATTTCATGCCTTAGCATCACCAGTTTAACTATAAGCTTCCATGCTTGTTCATTTCTCTTTGGATAAATTTTACTTTCATTCCCTGTAGGTTAGTTTTATACTTCCATTCCCTGTAGTTTAGTTTTTTTTTTTTTTTTTTTGACAACTAAGTATGTGGGTTAGTTTTTTTTCTTTTCATTTGACATAAAATTATTATCAATTGTTTTTCTCCTTAATTTTGATTTGTTTAGTTTGAACTTTCACATAATCTCATGTTGAAAAGTCTAAACATGTGTAAACCTGCATTTATTATTTTGTTACACAAGTTGAATGAATTATTTGTTCTTATATTCTTTTTAAGCCTGAATATATGGGGTTTGGGGAGCAACATTTTAAGTGGGAGGACCGGGACCTTCTTGATGGGGATGATATAGAGTTTATTTCCTTGCGACCTTTGCAGCATTTAACTCACATCATAATTGTTTTTTAGTTGGATTTAATCAATTGTAGGAGAAACAACCGCCAGGATTTACTAGTTTGTTATCATTATTATCACTTTTGTTTTATAATTTATACCCTGCTTGTTCCACTCTCATTTATTTACAGTCTCGTTTATACCTATCTTTTTTGGTTTTTAGGAAGTTTCTTAGACATGGGTTATTTTCGAAATAAATAAATTTTATCTGTAAATCTTATTTGAAAATATTTACTTATTTGAAGAATGAAGGAATACAAATTTCTTGTGAAAAGATTAAGGTTTAGTTCATGGATAACTTTTAAAGTGGGAAGAAAATAATGCATTTCAAATTTCATCAATTTTAGGGTTCTGATTTTTTAATTATTTCTTTTTTTGGTTAAATTAAACATAAATTTTGAAATGATTTCTGGGAATGAAATTCATCTATTCCAAGCATAACCTTTAAGATTTTGTCTGGTCATTATGTTTCTGAGGTAGTCATAACTTGAGAATGTCTAATTAATTCAGACATTAAGACAGAGGAGTTGGCACCAGTTGATGATATATATATGTATAAGGGAATCTTTATTTTTTGTTTTGTCCATTTGATATATATATATATATATATAGTAAATATGCATATATGTACGTAGATGTAAAAGAGTCTTTCATAAGTTGGAAAAGACAGAGAGACATTGAGATAACATCCTTTTTAGAAAGAAAAGCACTTTTCAGATAGAAATTGTCCTTTTAGATGAGTAGAATTTTGAAGCTTTCATGATTTGATAGCCTCTAAATAGTGTTTTAATTCCTTTTTTTTTCTTTTTCCTTTGAAAATATATATATATATATAATAATCAGTTATACATACAGTAAATATTATTTTAACCATCTTATGATTGTTAATTCTTGATTGAACTTTTCATGCTAATAATAATTCTTGATGTGTGTTTGATGGAAACGAAGAGATCTTCATAATACTACTGTTTTAGAACTCTATTTATTTGTTTATGCATTTGTTTTTGTAATTTTTGGTGTTGGTTTTTCACCTCTTCTTTACTTCAAAAATATATTAAAACATGCTAATATAACTTTTATATTTTATATATTATATATATATATATGTATATGTATATTTATTGAATTTTACTCTTTAATTTAAGGGTATTCCCTAACTCCCTTAGCCTATCAACTTACAATTTATTTTTATTGCAACAAATACTGATGATAAGACTTAAGTTGACTGTAGGAAAAGACTAAGCATGCATGGTAACTTACAAGTAAGCCAACTGCCCCTGTCAATCTCTTCTTCTTATTCATTTATGTACTTTACAATTCAAGTTTCTCTCTTCTCTTTTCTTTTTTTTTTTTTTTCTCCTTTTAATTGAGGCTGGAATCACCTTAATTACAGGAGAATTTTAGTGTATGTATACAAATATAGTATATACGTATGGAATGTATGCATATGTAGGAATTGTGCGTAATTCAATTCAAATTGAAAATAACTGATATATATATATATATGTATATGTATATGTATGTGTATAGTACAAGAAAGGAGGGGATCTAGCTTCATGATCCATGTAGCTTCCCAGGCGCCTGGAGAGAAAACCAGAGTCGACGACGACCAAACCAAAAAAAAAAAAAAAAAAGAGGAGGAGGATTTCTTGGGTTTTGAAGGAAGGAATAAATGAAAAAGCTGGCATTTTTGGGTGCATATCATTTGGATTGGACCATACCATACCCATCACATTTCTATACATACACATTATAATTATACCGCTTCAAATTTCTAGGAGAGGTATTTATTTTAATTTATGCCTTGTTACACACACACACACACACACATATATATATATATATATATAGTGTCTCATAGTTTTCCAATTCCCTAACATCAATTCATCAATTTAGTAATAATATTTTTAAATACTTTTTCAAACAATTTTAAAATGGGAATTTTTATAAAATCATCCAATCTTATGAAAACTAAACAAAAAGCCTCTATAGCTTTTTTTTTTTTTTTTTTTTTGGTCGAATCACGGTAGAATAAATTATAAGGGTGTTTTGTTCACTTTCTAATCAATTTAATATCATAATTTCCATATTAATTTTAATATGATCAAAGTAAAAAAATATATATAAATTTATTTACCAACTCAACTAATCATTGTGGATAAAAGCAAAAAAACAAACATACACAATACTTTGTAATCGAACATCAATTATAGGGGAAAAATAACTTTGATTTTCTTCCTAGTTTTTTTTTTTAGTGAGAAAATGAATTATAAAAATGATTACATATTGCACATGATGACATTAACGTATCATAAATAATATTATAAATATCTAAAAATACAGGTAACGTTAGAGGTGCACCAAAAGCCTGATCTAATCTAACATATATCTCATGAATAGGGTTATCTCAATTTTAATGGAGAAGGTTTTTAATCTAATTCATAGTCTCGTTGTCGTTGTCCCTTGGAGCAAGTTGGCAAGAAGAAGTAAGTCCACCTTACTTATTAGCTTTTCCATAACTATATTCTAAGCCAACTTAATGTCATCCAAAATCTCGAGTCTCTCAATTATCACAGGATGAAAGTACAAATATAGTGTATTGAGTTAATTACTCAACCATTTTTATTATCATTAATGAGATCGCGCGTTGTGGTATTACTAAACTGAAACCGATATTAAAAAGGACCCTCTAACCCATGTCAAGCCCCGACTTCAGCCATCAATATTAATTTTGAGAATTATAAAGCAAACATTTATATTAATAATTAGTTTGAGACTCAAATCATTTTTAAGTGATTTTAAACTTTTTATATAAAATCCATAATCTCACTATTAAAAAAAATTGACATATGCTTTACCAATATCTAAAGCCACCTTCCCAATTTACCATCCAATTATTAGGTCTTTAAAGGTAGTGTTTTAGCATAAAAGGATTACTTTTTGCTTCTCCCCAACTTAATTAATATCTAAAACCCCTTTTTTCTTGTTTAATTAATCTACAAGAGTGAGGAGTAGTCCTGTTTAAGTGCATGTGGAATTCATAATTTATTATTCAACACTTTAACTTATGATGTCTGCTGGCTCTCTCTCTATATATATACACACACACACACACATACACATCCATATATACATACATACATCTATATGTATATATCTTGCTGTTGGTATTTCTTGCCTTTGATATTCCTTCTGCCTCTCACTCTTTGCACTACTCTTGTGATATTCCATCTGCCTTCTCACTCTTTACACTACTCCTATGATCATATGTATATATGCATTATACATACAAATATAAACTGAGAAAAAGCTGCAGGAGATAGCCAACTAGATAGGCCGTACAGGACATGATCAGCCATGAACTCAAAACCAACCACTACTAAAATCCCCCCACTAACCCCAAACCCTCTGTAAATATCCGCCCACTCATCAACCCTTTCCATCTTCATCCCCTTCAAAAAGAAAAACAAGAAGAAGAAGAAGAAGAAGGGTTTTGAAGATAAACTGATCCGGTTTTTCTTAAAATTAATTACATTGTAGAACTGATATAATAATTATTAATTATTATACATATGTGTGTGTAGTTAAGGATGATGATGGGACAAGGTGGGGATTATGGATTTTTATTTGGGGGATCAGCGAGATGTCAAGACTGTGGGAACCAAGCTAAGAAGGACTGTATGTATAGGAGATGTAGAACTTGTTGTAAGAACAAAGGATTTCAGTGCCAAACACACATTAAGAGCACTTGGGTTCCTTCTTACAGACGCCGCCAGAGGTATAATCAGATGCTACATCATCATCATCATCATCTCACTCCATCCTCATCATCTATTGATCATCATCATCATCCTGCAGAAAACCCTAAAAGACTCAGACAGAATAGTCAGTATCTCACCTCCTCTTCAGGTATGTATCTCTCTGCGCTCTCCTTATACAGCATATACGTACAGTTCTATCTTGCACGACTGACATTCAATTAATACACACAGATCTATAATGTTCTTCTACATATCTATATATGATACACACAGAGAAAACTTCAATAACCCACCGTATCATTTGCGTGTCGTAATGAATGTGGTAGCTAGAGATCGTAAATATATATATACACCCAGTAATTTTAGCAGCTTTTTTCTTGTAATTTTTCGTTTTTACTGTTAAAGGGTACTGTAGAAATTCTGACAAGAACAGCAAAGAGATGATCATCAGAGAAGAAAAACAAAAATTTTAAACTATTTATAGGCTTGATTGAGGTGAAATAATCAGTAAAAATCAATACAGAACTAATTTAGAAGCCAGAATATGGGTTTGAATCTTTCAGAATTGACTTTACGACTGATCATAATTAATCAGTCTCAGAAAACATAGATCTTTTATCATAGGAAAGCTAGTTTTTAGTCAATATCGATTTTTCTCGGGAAAATATCGGATGAATTTGGTTAAGAGTCAATAAATTAACCCAAAAATGATATATTACATGTGAAATACTAATTTTAATTGCATAAATAATCTTTTGTTTCTTAAAAAAAAAAAAAAAGTGGATTGAACTTGATTACAAGTAAAATTTTGAGATCTTTATGGGTGGTGGTTGTAGGGTTAGAGAAGGGAGATTTTCCGGGAGAAGTGAGGTCAACGGCAGTATTCCGGTGTGTTCAAGTGAGCTCTACTGATGATCATGGAATTAAACAGTATGCATATCAGACGGCTGTGAGCATAGGAGGGCATGTTTTCAAAGGTATTCTCTACGATCAAGGCCCTGATGATCACGATCGTGATCATCATCATCAGTACTACTCCAGAACTGGTCAAGAAACAGTTTTACAGCAGCGGCCTAATTATGAAGCCAATGTGGGTGCCCTAGAAGCTGCTTCTGGTGATGATGGTAGAATAGCTTATCGTTCAGCGGCTTCTGTAGAAGCACTTATAATTCCTTCTTCTGCTGCTACATCTACTTGTCCAATATTTAGCTTCAGTGCTTTCATGTCTGGTACGCCATTTTCTTCTTCCTCAAACCCAAGATCTTAAACATTGTTTCATCTTTGAAGAAAACCAAGCTGGGAATTAATGAACAGATCAAAACGCTTCAAGAAAATAAAAGAAAAACTTCTGCTATCTACCTCTATTGTCATTATTATTGACCTAGGAAATTGATAGTTTGGTGTTGTAAGGCTAGTACTTAATTTAATTCACCATCTGGTTCGCGTATATATTCTATGTATATATATATATACACACGCACACATTACTAAAAAATAAGATAAATAATAATTTCATACATAGAAATACTATATAAATATAAATATATATAACTAATTACTGAAACTAATCTGGTTTAGTAGTGCTTTCGTGATTTCGGTTTACAAACTCCAAAGCTTGAGTTTTATCTTCTTGTCTCAATTATGTCTCTCTTGCGATATATGTGTGTGTATGTATATATATATATATAAATATAACGGGTAGTTCCAAAGTCATTAATGTTATCTCTAATTAATCCTTGATCTGTGATTTATGAAAACATTATTGTTAATTAAAAAAAAAAACAATGGTATTAAAGCGAATATAAAGAAAATAAATTAAGTTAAATGATAAAATTATATAATTGGTAAATAATTATATCCTGTAAAATCTACAAATATTTATCAAAAAATTATTCTTAATAATTACAATATAATTTTTGTAATGTAAAAATATACTAGACATAGCTAATATATTCTTCATTTATTTTATTAAATCCATTAAATTCATAAACTAGTGAAATAATCATTTTAATTAATAACTCACACATTTTACAGTGAATATTTTATTAAGTACATTGATCCTGATCATATCCAAATGTAAGTTTATCGTGTTGAAGCCAAGTGTCAAAGATAATTACAAACAGGATTAAACTAATTAATGTATTAAGTTTTTAATTATTGTATTAATTTGTGAAATTCAATGCATAGGGGGGGCATCAAACCCAAAATATTCACCACACATTCACTTAATCAGTACAAAGTGAAACAGAGATGGAGGAAACTTCACTTCACTTACAAAAAAATCACATTACACCTGTCGCATTTCTCTTTTTCTCATTGTCCCTCTATACATACATACATACATACATATATATATATATGTATATCTGTACATAGAAATGCTCACATGGGGTTGAGGGAATTGAGATTTTGGATATGACCCTTTTGGAATGGGTTCATATATACATATATATATATATATCAATATTGTATTTTTATATTGTTGGATTTAATTTGAATACCCAAATTCAGGAAACTTTCATTTAAAATTATATGGGTGTTGAGTAAATTTTTAAATGGTAAGAAATTAATATCATGTTTCTTATCTTTTTCCTATTATTATCAACAAAATTCTTTGTTTTTTAACACGTAAACTTTATTAACAAGTTTTAATTAATTAATTAATTAAAAAAAATGATGCATGTAGTATATTACTAATATAGATATATATATATATATATATATATATATATAATATAGTAACTAAGTAGTTGAAGGGAAAGGGAAAGGGAATCCCTTTCATTAGCCATAAAGGTAAGCTAACGAGGCTTCTAGTTGAATAATATCATAGTTTAAACATAAAAAAGACTAGGTGGGCATCTTGTTAATTATCGTAGTTTAATTATTAATTAATTATTAACTATAATTATGGCTTTAATTGGAAAGCACTATATTAGCCTACATATGCTTCACCTTTTAGGGTAAACACACAATCAAATTAACTATACCAAAAAGTTAATTGATACCCACAATTTCAAATTACAACCAGAATATATCCTCTGTACTTGAAAGAGAAAAAAAGAACATGTAGTTTTTTTTTTTAAAAAAAAAAAATTTAATACAATCCAATAATACATTTCGATGCAGTCAAATTAAATTATATATTTTATATATTTATATACATTTTTTTACTATAAAGTCTTAATACACACACACACACACACACACATATATATATATTCTCATTCATAAAGTAATGTGTTTCCTAATATATATGTTCATAAAAAAGGATTTCTTTTCTTCCCACTTAGAAAGCATTCTTTCTGGTTTTTCTCCCGCAAAATCTTAAGAAGTATCTGATTTAATATATAATGAAGTTCATAACGCATTTGTATATATATATATATATATATCCAAAATGGTAAACTCAGGAGAGCTAGCTGAGAATCATGCTACATGTTTATAAATATAAATATAAATATATAGTATGCATGTAATAATTTTTATGATCATATCATTTTTGTATATATATATATATATATATATATACACTCACACACACACATTGTAATTAGCTGAGCCTCTTGGATTCTTGTTCCAGGTTCGTTGTATGTAATTTTATCATTAAAATTTTAAACCTAGATATGTACTGTGTGTATGTATGTACGTAAACTTGTATTTGGGAAGCAAAGATTCTATATTTCAGTTGATACACACACACACACATATATATACACACGTAAAGAAGCTGGTATTTGTAAATTTATGCAAAATTTATATGACGTTCTTTGTTGTCTCACTCAAAAAGATGATTACCCATTCGAAGTCTGAAGAAGATCTGAGTGATATATGAATATATATGTATGTAAGTATGTATGTATGTATGTACATATGTATATGTATATACGAATTCTGGCGTAAAAAGATGCGTGTTATATTCCACATCTAACATGCTTGCAGATGAAGAGAAGTTACGTTATACTTTAGTAAATACCGGGCCCGATCCAGGCCCGTTTCGATAAATTTCTTACGTTTAGCCCACCAGCATGACCCGTATCGTACTGGGCCGGGCTGATTACCGGCTACCCGGCCCATTATATCCGTGACTTGCCCAGCTTCAAATGAAAGCCCAATAATTCTGGCGCCAATCTACAACCATTTCCCGCCAAATCATCTCTGCAAACACCTTGTCTCTCCTCATCCCCCAAAACCCCAAATTTTCTAATTCTGTGGCAATCTCTCTCTCGCTCTCTGCATCCATGGCGTCCGATTCTTCTCCGATCACCTTCAACAACGGTAAAGCTCTCCATCTCGCTGTCTGTCATATTTCTAACTCTGTGTGTTTGTCTCATTTTTCTTTTCTGGAATCTGCACAGGAGCTTCCTCTCCCGATGACTCGCTTTCAAGTCCAATTGGCAACACTTACTCATCCCCTGGCTCTCGCCGCCGCGGTCGCCCTCGCCGATCTTCTACTCCGTCGGCAACACCACCTCCGGTTCGATCTCGCTTCGCCGCATCAGAGACCCCACCCCCTTCCCGCTCCGTCCGCCAATCCAACGGCCGCCGGCCTGCCACCCCGTCCTTTACCGATGCTTCCTCGGAGGCTGGCGACGACTTGGATGACGCCACTCCCACCTTCGTATGGGGAACTAACATCAGTGTCCAGGACGTGAAATCAGCGATCCAGATGTTCGTCAAGCACTTTAGGGAAACGCAGGACACTAGCACCGCCACCAATGATATCTACCGAGAAGGGAAGTACATGGCAGCTATTCACAGGGTGCTGGAGATTGAAGGAGAGTGGATCGATGTGGATGCACGTGATGTGTCCGATTATGATTCTGACTTGTATACCAAAATGGTTAGGTATCCACTTGAAGTTTTGGCCATTTTCGACATTGTTTTGATGGATATTGTGAGCTTGATAAATCCACTGTTCGACAAGCACGTACAAGTTCGTATTTACAACCTTAAGACCTCCACGTCCATGAGAAATCTCAACCCATCTGGTGTGTCTCTTGTGTTTCATTTCTTTCAGATATTATGTAATGAAGTTTGTTTATGTAATGAATTCTGTTTACTTCTATGATATTTATATGCTGGGCTTTGTGGAAAGTGACTGATATATGTATATGGGCTTTGTATAATTTAGATATTGAGAAGATGGTGTCTTTGAAGGGAATGATAATTCGGTGTAGTTCGATAATACCAGAAATCAGGGAAGCCACATTTAGGTGCCTTGTATGTGGGTACTTTTCTGATCCCATTGTTGTGGATAGAGGTAATTGAATCAGGCTGTTTTGCTCTTTCTTTCAATTGTGTTGGTTTAGATGAATATCTCTGTTTTTTTTTTGGTTGACAAGTGGGTGTTATTAGGGAGAATAAATGAGCCCATTGCATGCTCGAAGCCTGAGTGCCTTGCCAAAAATTCAATGACACTTGTTCATAATCGATGCAGGTAATTGAATTTGAAAGCTTTGGTTACATTTGCTTTGATTGTTAAGAGTATGAATAATTGAGTGCTTATCAGTTTAAGGTTTTTGGATGATCATTTTAATAAATTGGTGATAACAGTATCAGAATCAAAGATTAGAGCTAGAGTTCCAATGTTAATCTTGTCTGCCTTATTTCTATTAAAACTTAATTTCATACAAGTTCTACTTGATACACTTATGTGTGAGGGGTATATTAGATTAAATAATTGATTGAGTCATTTCCTATCAGATTTTGTAATAATCAGTTCAGTAAATTATTTAAAATTGATGATGACCATAAGCAAGTAAATGTTATGTGGTGATTTTAAGCTTAAGAAATATTGAAGGATGAAGAAGCCATGTTGTTGGATTTTGGTGTTTGAGCTTAACCCTCGGTGAATCTAAGGATTTAACCCATAGAAGGAGACAATTGGATGATTTTAGTAGGACTTTCCTTTGCAATTACTTACTAATTTACTCTATTCTTTTGTGATACCTTTCCAGTTAATTAGTATTTGTCATATTAAACATTTTATGATTTTTTTTTTCTTTTTAGTGTTTTTTTATTTTACTTCTATCCTGAATGACAAATAATTTGGATAGTTAATTCTTAGCGTAAGTAGTTTAACTGGACATCTTCTGCAGCTCTATGTAGCAGTTGGATTGAGAGAATTTGCAACTGAGGAGTATAAAATCTCTATATTTAATTGCTAGTCATAAAATGGAAAATTGCTGGAAGCCTCGTGTTAAGCCGAAAATATAACGTCATAGTTCCTATATATAAAAACCACATCAACAAGGATGGGAAAGATTA